AATAAATATTAAAAAAATTCTCTCTCTCTCTCTCTCCCTCCCTCTATCACTCTCTCTTTAAAAAAAAAAAAAAAATAAGTTTTGAATGATTTTTAAAACTTTTGATTATTTCATTACGTATTTCATAAACTGCTAATTGGTGTATGTAATTTCATACAATTTACATGAATGAATAAGTAATCTTAAAACTTTTATATTAATTTTTAGATTAAAATTTTTGCTTAGTCATTGTTAACCCTACACCAATGAAAAAACGTTAAGCTTTGCATTTATTTTTCTTATATAAACAGCACTATATATACAACCCATAGTAGATAGTGTTACCTGTATATTAAAATTTCATGGAGGGGCAATTAAAAAAAATAAAAGGTTTGAAAAGGTCCTTAGGGGAGAGAACATGTAAAAAATCTGAAAAACGCTATATTAAAATAATTACCTATCAGAGGGAATACTGAGCTGACCAAGTCATCTCCAGTCCACTTGGTGTCCAGCACTCCAATTTGTTATGAGTACTGCCATATGTCAGGTAAACACCAAAACACACCAAAAATAGGAACTAAGTGAACCAGAGAGGAAGAACTTACCTCATGCATATTTGAAGGTAACAAACACAATAAACAAGCTCAAAACCACGACAGGGCCAGGGAATCTGTGATTAGTGCTGAGCTGCTATAAAAACCCTGCGGCCCCTAGGACACTACTGATCCCGCTGTGCAGCAGTTACCCCTTGTTCATTTAATACTGCTTTGAGTCTTTTATTCTTGCAAGAAAGCCAATGAAAATGGTAGTACTAGAAAAACTTGCCTCAAACACAATAAAGTAGACAGTCAGAGGAGTAAAAACTATTTTTACACAGGGTAATAAGGTTAGAAGTTTAAAAGCTTCCAAACTTCTTTTTTTAACCTGATGCCTTGTCAGAACAACACCTTTGTTGATAGTAACTAAATTCAGACATGCTATACAGTTCCTCCTTTATTACAGCCCAGAAAATTTTGTGTAAATCAAAACATAATCTGAATACCTTTACTTCAACAAATTGTTCAACAGATATTTTCTCATCTAAGCTCCTATTACATGAGAACCAGTGTGACTGACGACCAGGGAAATATCACAATTTCACCCATGTTTTTTTTTTTTTAGCATCAGAAATCTTTCACAGGTGTCCTGAAAGGCAAATAAGGTCATGACCTACAGGTCAAGCCAATCATTAGGTGTGATGTAACAGAAGGTTCCTAAATAGCCACAGTATGTACATATGGTGTAGGATTAAATGTGCATATTACTTACAAAGCTATTTTTCACTTCATAAAATGAATTATGAGCAGCATGAAAACTAAAATTGTCAAAACTAAAGTTCTAAGACTTTTGTCTGTCCATCTGGGACCCTGTCTCAAGTTAAATTGAAGTTTTCTGTAGAACTGTAAACAATCAAAACTGAAATAGGTAGCAAGCTAATGGTGGGTGAGGGGGCTCTCTCAAGTCAATGCAGCCAATCACAAGCAAAGCCCGCTACATTCTACAAGAAATAATTTTTGCCACTGATCTGCCCAGCAACCACAGAATTGTTCTAAACTCAAAAATGTTGAGAATTTTTCTTGCCCAGAAGTGGTTTTTGAAAAGGATAAATGCATCTAAACATACATAATTTAGTTTGCAACAAACCACAAAAACAGAGGAAAAAGCCTGGAAAAAAGCATATACATATGCTATAATAATCTGATCAAATGCCACTAAAACATTCTTGAGTTGAACCCTTTTGAAACCTTTAAAATTCTCTGTAGTCTGCTAACTAGTTAAAGGTTGCTCTTTTTTTTTTTTTTTTAACTCAACATTGACCTTATTCCATCATCATATCAGCTTGATATTCTAGCTCACTTTAGGGTCTTAAATTGCAAAGGTGCTCAGCAAATGAAAAATACGTAAGATTAAGCAATCAGGCTTTTCAGTCTGATGACAGTCACAGGCTTTCTAAGTGCTTCTGCAGATATTCCACATGCTGCAGAGGGCTGCTGGCTGCATAATAAGCAGGGTTACAATTCAATGTCAACACAACTCCTTGGAATTGATGTGATGATCAATCAAATGAATTTCCAGATTTCTCTTACAAAGGACAGGGCCAAGTTTCTCAAAGGGAATTAAGTTCTATTCCACTTATCTCTACCATCAAACAAAGCAGCACAAAGGGAAGCTTGGAAGCATACATTACAAAGGACAGAAAAAAATTAGGTATAACTGTCAGTGTAACTGACATTAGCAGGAATCTCTGGTGTACAGGCTTAGCTCAATTATAATTGCAAAGCCACTAGGGATTTTTAATTATTAAAAAGTAAACCATATGCCAGAGTAATAGAATACAGCTCAATAATCAAGAATGGCATGAACAGTAGTTCTTAATTTGTTTCTACTCTACTTTTTGATACTCTGAAGACCTTTTGTTAGCAGAAAAAGCTACATGTAAAAACAGGAGGCCTGAGGAAATGATGTAGCTAAACAAGCCCCTACAACCAATTCCTGTGTTTAATGATTTACTTAGGAGTATGGAAACAAATTTTTGTTTCTTAGTTGTGGTATGTATGTATGCATATATATTAGACAAAGAACTAATACCAGCTTTACCACTGACTTATTTTGACAAGCATTTCTTTAGGCCTTGATTTCTTTGACCATAAAAAGAAAAAAAGAGTAATCATATTTGTCTTTAGATAATCAAAACAGACTTAGAAATCCCTATGAAAAATGAGGAATCATTATTTATAATGACCTTAATTCTCTTTGGCTTGATGGTTCTTAAAGAAAGCATCCTGAGAAAAAAGCACCCAGAACTAGCATATGCCCATGAATCCAGGGCAACTGATGTGGCCAATGATGGTGATGGGCAGTGAAAGTAAACATCCTACCCCTTTTCAGGGAAAGCAAGTTAGAAATATTGAATACCACTTATCCAGGCCACCCACATGTATAAAGAAGTGATACCAAAGCTGCCCAAATTAAAAAATCTTAGATATTTCATAGATGTAAAATTTTTTTTAAACATTATGAAATTTCATTATAATGAGAACCAATGAAGATTCATAGAAGAAACATAAGTATGAATCCATAAATTCTCATAATTAAAAACCAAAGTAACAACTTGGCCTAACAAAAGCGAACCTAAAGAGCTACAACCAGCCTGGGGATGTAGCTAAGTGATGGAGTGTCTGCCTGCCTTTGGTGAGGACTTATGTTCAGTTCCTGCACCACAAAAACAAAAGAGCTATAACCACATCAGAAGAAGTCATCGTTTATGTATATATTTACTAATTTAAAAAATACATTTTGAACCAAAGCAGCAGATAATGGTATATTAGTGAAATTAAGTTCCAAGCATCATATTCTGTTTCAGTGCTAATTTAGACAGAATTCAAATTATACCACAAATTTAGAATTATAAAAATCCAATTTTTAAAGGGAGATCAGCACATTAACTGTATCATAAAAAGTTCCAAGTGGCATGTATCATGACATTTTCCAAAAGCTAAATTCTATAGCTTCTACCTTCTAAAGGTTTCTAATTTTTGTTTTTGTTCTGCATTACTGGGGATTGAACTCAGGGCTTTTCAGAGGCAAGACAAGTCTTCTATCACTGAGCTATATCCTCAGCTCCAAAAGATTTTTTAATCAAGTTTTCCCTTGAAAACAAACTGCAGCTTGCTGCTCTCCGAACCAGCCTGTTTCCCACCTTTAGCTTTGCTCACAGGGGTTGCCTGTTTCCCTGGGTCCATCTATTCCTTCAAAGATCCACCTTACTTCCAGAAACTCACTAATAAAATTTTCTGGTAGCTTCAAGAAGCTGCACTCTCTTCCTCTTTGAACCTTGAGGTACATATCTTTGCAGCTTGGTTTAAGAGATGAGATACAGCAGCCTTTTCCTCTGCAAGTTCCTCCAAGCAGGGCCCAGGTCCTATCCATCCTTGTCTTTTTTTTTTTTAATTAAAATTTATTGTTATTATTATGCTTATCTTCTTAACTGGGACCTCAGATTCTTTTGAGAAATGAATGTCTAAGGAACTTATACAGGAGACTCACAATATAAAGATAATGATTTATATAAAAATTATAAAAAGCATCATACCAATACCAAAGTATGTTTGAATCTGCCAGTTCAGCTCTTTGCAACTTTCCAAATAACTGGACCTCACTTAAGTGGCACAATCTGCTTTTGGGAACTGATTTTTAATTTCAGTTAACCTGTTTGTTAAATAAGATTTCTGAGAAAGATTTTCTATACAAGGAAAAGAAATATTTCACATCTATTTACAGGTTACCATTAGCCTGGACCACCAGATCTTAGGGCAGAATTCAAGAGGAGTAAGCAGGTGAGTGAGTACAAAATGGCTGACAGCGAGGCCTTACGGGAAGAACATGGGAGGTGAGTCCTGGTTCTACACGGGGGACCCAGTTCAACGCACTTCACTTGCCTCACCTTAGTTCCCTTCTTAGAAAAACAGGATATTGGACTATATGAACACTGGATTCTCCAAATGCTGAATGCTACAGCTTCTATTTTCTGAAGATTTCTGACTTTAGTTTTTTTGTTTTGTTTATTTTGTTTTGTGGCACTGGAGATAAATTCAGTGTTGTTCACATTCTAACACTAGAATTCTATGAGCATAACATGTCTTTCTTGCATTATTTCTATGCTATTAAATATTTCAATTTTATTGAAAAAAGAGAGAATCCTACTCATCTTTAAAAAGATCCATACATTTCATGGTAATTTTTAAAGAAATTTTAAAATGGAAAAGAAAACAAACATTAAAACAAAAATCTCTGAGGACTAAGAAAAATAAATATAAGCAAAATTCAAAAATATCTTCCAACCAAACTTCAACCCAGTACAAATAACCCTTCCCATACCCTCTAAATAAAAAAATAAAAAAAAAAGAAGAAAAGAAAAATAGAACTTATTTAGCTTCTTTAATACATTATCACTAACTCTGGATTCAGCAAGCCCACCTTACCTTCTGACGCTTTTATCATGTAGCCTCCCTTATCTTTGGTAGGAGGTACATCGAGCAGCTGCATAATTCTGTCCAGCAGCCCATGGATTATCTCAAACCCAGGATTCTTGTTGTAATAAACAGCACAGAGATGCCTGTAGTTTTTTGCCCCTACATCTGGAAAAAAAAAAAAAAAAAACTGGTCACAAGGACACATTAACCATTACTAAAGAAACTGACTCAACACACACACACACACACACACACACACACACACACACACACAGAAAAGAAAACCTATTATGTGACATAAAAAGAAGCATCGGACCTCAGGAATGCAAGTCCTTTTCAATCATTGAATTTCCAAAGGTATTTAATGGGGAGGAGGGGAGAAGAACCCTCAATGCGAGTCCAGTAAGGTTTTATTACAATATAAAGCACAAAACTTCTTTGCACAACACTTTAGCAGAGCCTTAAAACTCATACTCTTTATTCATGATACTACCTACAGGAAATAATCTTAAATACAAACAAAATAAAGGCTTCATGTAGAAAGACATTTACTGGATCATTATTTTCAATAGTGAAAATCAGAAACAACCTAAATAGGGAAGTAACTATATAAATACAGTATGGTTACTCATCAGAATACTATGGTGGCTAGCAGGGCACAGTGGCGCATGCCTGTAATCCCAGCGGCTCAGGAGGTTAAGCCAGGAGGATTACAGATGCTGAGACAGGAGAATTGCAAGTTCAGAGCCAGCCTCAGTAAGAGCAAGACCCGAAGCAACTCAGTGAGACCCCGTCTCTAAATAAAACACAAAACAGGACTGAGGATGTGGCTCAGTGCTCAAGTGCCTCTGAGTTCAATCCTCTTGTACCGAAAAACAAAAAAATATTATGGTGGCTGATAGAAAGCAGCTTTATGAGAGTTTATCATAACAGAGCCAGAGTAAATAAGAAAAAAAAAAAAAGGCAGTCATAAAGTTCAAAAGTAAATAATATTGTTTTAAGAACATATGAAGCAAAGTGAGAAAATGACTACCAAAGTTAGGTTGACAAATGCCCCAGGTAAAGCCAAGGTACTAAGAAGGGAGGTGGCATACAAGAAGCTTAGGACACTGGCAGTATTCATTTCTTAATTTGGGTGATGATTATAGTAGTGTTTGTTTTACAATCCTTTTGAAACTACACACACACACACACACACACACACACACACACACACACACATTCTTCACAATTAAAACATGAAAAAAGCAGAATTCAAAAGTATTATCACAATAATAATTTTTTAACATGCATAAAGAATAGAATCAAAACTATGTAAATATGGCCATAATTCAAAACTCCATGCACAGGAGGAGGGGGAAAAGACTAAAAAGAAATATACCTAAATAACAGGTTATATGTGGGCAGTGATAATTGTTTTTACCTATTTCTCAATTTTCTATGATTTGTAATATATTATACTTAAAAATGAAAACAAACATAACTTGATGTTTTAAAAAAGAATTACAAACATAACTTGACATTTTAAAAAGGAATTACAACAATCCAAATGAACCCTGATGTATAACCGGATTAAACAAACTGGTATATCCATACAATCGAGATTACTCAGCAATAAAATGAAACAAACTGTTGGTGGACTTGACAACTTGGATTGCTCTCAAAGGCATTGTAATGAATGAAAGCAGCCAGTCTCAAAAAGTTTCTGACAGTATGAGTCATTCCACTCATATGACATTCTGGAAAAGGCAAAACTATGGCAATGGAAAACAGTGGTGGTCTGCAATAGGTGTGGGGAAAAATGAAACTAATACTAAACAGCATGTGGATTTTCAGGGTGATGGAACTGTTTTAGATCACATGGTGGTAATTTTTTTAGAAAGTGCACAGCATATAAAGGAAGATTCAAAGACAACAGTATCATTAACTTAATAATAGGTATATAGACTTATAGCCTTGTAATAAATTCTAGAGATAACTGCTTTGACACAAACACTAAATAAATGTTGGTTCCATTTTGTTTTTCATATTAGGAAGGAGAACCAACTAATGTCTACAAAATAATGTCTATCTGGGAGCACAGACTGAAAAGAGAATGCGGCCTCATTTTAGCATATACTAAGCAAAAGCTCTTCAACAGTATTATCACAATAGGTAAGAGCTACTAGTCAGAATTGACATAAAGTATATAAGACTTTCATCTGAATATCTGAAAGGACCTAGGTACTTTAAGACACTGTACTCTACTATTAAAGTAGTATAAAAGTGAGCACACAAATGGAGTAAAGGAAAACTAATATTAACTGACAATCTACCATGTGTCAGGTATTTAGTACTTGTCAATCTATCTATAATTTTACTGAAGTCACAAGGCAACTATACAAGGTAGGTATTATTATTCTTATGAAACAGGAGAAACAATAACTTGGAATGACTTAAGAACTTGCCCCAAATCAAACTAACTGGCTATAACTATGATTAATTACATAGTTAATAAATTACAAAATCAGGATATGATCAGGATTGTCTAACATTAAAACCCCATGTTCCTTCCAGTACTACATAGTACACAGATAAAGAATTTAAATTTAGATGGAGACAATATGGGTAAAGAGCCAAGTTATGTATGGCTATAAATATATCTACTTAATATAATTAAAGGTGTACATTCTTTTTTGCAGTCCTAGTTTTGATTGACCCTAGGGGCACTATACCACTGAGCTACATCCCTACCCTACCCCCGTCTCTACCCCGCTTTTAAAATATTGAGTCAGTCTGCTAAATTGCCCAGGCTGGCCTTTGAATTTGTGATCCTCCTGCCTCAACCTACCAAATTGCTGGGATTACAGGCATGTGCCACTACACTGGGCAAAGATGTGAATTCTTGAAATGTTTTTGATACACATGCTTATTTTCATGATTTTTAAGAATTCTATATAAGCAAATGGAATAAATTATTTTTAAAAATCAAGTGAAGTCACCAATGGTATTGTAACTTATGGAAAGCATATTCTGAATTAAGGTTCTGACTAAACAGACATGGAGAAATAACTGCTCTTGCCATGTAACATCTTAGAGCATATTAAGTTCAACATACTCAACTATTGATATCCCTAGATGGTAGAGGTCAGCGGCAGCATAGGGCTTGAATGTACTAATCCCTCAATAATTATTTTCTGATAAATGACTAAAGCCTGGAAAAGGAATTAAGCACACCCAAACAACTAACAAGGCCAGGAACGGTAGGCCATGTTCTAAGGCAACACAGAAGCCAACTGCTGAGGTAAGAAAGTGTGCACCATACTATCACTCTCTATCCTTTCTATTTTCAAGGATAAAGTAATCTGGTATCTAAAAGTTATAACCAAAGGTGTGAGAAAGAATAAAGATCAATATTAAAATCAGGCAGGAACAAAACCCCACAAAACCAACTATGTGAATAAACTTAAATGAGGGGCCTAATTCTACGGTAGGAACACAAACATACACAAACTCTTTCTCCTCCTAAAGGGAAAAAAATGAAATGAAACAGAACTAAATTATCCCTTTCATACTACTGACTTGCTTCTGGGTATTTCTACCATGTGGTACCCATTTGTTGGTGTCACATGCTTCCACTTTAACACACAGGCATGTGTTCAAACTACTTTGTAGTTCCATTTTTATTGTGAGAGAATGGCCCAATAGTAATGCCACCATTCAGAGAGCTTAGCAACATAAACTGGAAGCCTTATTTTGGTAACCTTTGCCTTGGAATAGTTCTTTCTTCATCGCAAAATTATATAAAACTCACCTTTCTGGTAAGAGTAGCACATCTGAGTCAAAAACTTAGAATTTTTAAAAAGCTGATTGATTATAGGGATCAGAATGAAATTACAATAAACATATAGAACTTTAAAAAATTAAATTCTACTTTGTTTAAGCAAGGTTTGAGACCATTTATAACATACACACAATTAACTACATATCCTTAGATTTAATTTTGTAATATTTTTAAGAAAGGCCACTGACTTTTGGGCTATGTACTAAATTCACCATAATAATTAGATTAACCTCATTATTTTGGTGCCCCCTCCCAACCCCACCACCGATTGACTACTTTTTCACATTTCCCAAGGGCTACCAATCCTTCTAGACTGGTTTCCTCACATCTTGCTATCACAGTCTCTCTTCTTTAGCTGAAATGAATTAAAAGAGAAAATAACCACATTTTCAATTCCATCCATTCCTCCTTGGAGAAACAGCTAGGTACAGTAAAACTTCCATTTCCTAATATTTTTCACTGAAAGACCATATTATATCTCAGGAAGTTCACTGACTGCACACTACGAAATAAGAACTATTTAAATTTCATGCCAAAGCTAGGATTTGTTGGAAATGCCTCAGTTCTTTATAACTCAGTTAACAGACCTCTTGTGTCATGCCATCAAACAATTCTGCTTTTTAAATGGGCCTGCCAAGTATGTCAGCCTAAATTATCCATGTATTTCACAGACTTCAAAGTACAGCCTGGAGAGGGCTGATCTAAACCACCAAAAGGAGGGGCAGCTAGCTACAGTTCTGTAAGCTGAAAGAATATGCCAAATGATTTTCTTTGAAAAAAAGAAAGGTACTTGATATCCCTACAATATAACGATTGCATATAATTCAAAATTTTAGAATAGGCTACCACCTGGTATAGATCCTCTTTCACCAAAGTACCAATGATTTTAAGTAAATTATTGGTATTTAGTTATCTTTAGCACAAATGGCACAGACTGGAAATGGGCAGAATCTTCAAGAGACGCTTTCCATACCTATTCTCATCTTCACCTAGAAGCCTTAAAGGTGCTAGAAGACCTTTAAAAGGCTTCAGGGACAATCAGGGGCTGATGTAGCATCTGAAATTAATAGTCTGGCCAAGCTCAGAAAATACAATACACTACCTTATTTTAAAATCTATTCAATACTGGCACCCACAAGACTTATAATTTATATTGCAAATTTTACTTCTTTCCTAAAGCATTCCAATGCAACCTAAATGATTCATAAAAGCTACAAGCACCCTGTGATCACATCTAACAGAGAGAAAAAGGAAACTTGATATACTCTTGGTAGGAACAGATACATAAATAACAACTTTAAGTTCTTCTTTGGAAGAGATTCTCTGACACTTAAGTGTATAT